ACAAATTGAATTTACCTAATGGAATAGTCAATAATATTATTGATTGTTCCATGGATGAAGAAGATATATGCGAAAATTGTAAAACCTGGAGAGATAACCAAGCTATAATCAATTGTGTGTTGAGAAAAAAGGAAGAAATAATAGAAACGTTGAAGATGAAATCTTGATATTTTTAACTGTGTATGAAAGACCACCTTATAGTTATGTTAGAGCATTTCTGAAAATCAGTAAGAAAAATATGAAATGATTAAAGGTATATTATGGGTGTTGACTTATCATAAAAGGGAAGGGTTTGATGTAAAGGAAGACATTAAAACATATATTGAAAGAAAAAAGTTCAATGTTAAAAATACAGTGAAAGATATTAATAGTACTTTAAAAATAATGCATGAAAGAAGTAAGATATATATACAACTTAGTAGTCATCAATTAAATTATTATCCTGAACTTAAATTACAAAGTTTACATAGCCAAATAATTTTAATTTATAAAATTTGCAACCCGTGCTCCAAATCCAGGAGAGTTGGCCACGCCTGAATTCCTTAGTCTTTGAGACAAGCATATGACTACTGGCAGGATCAACCAGGTTTCCCTGTGTTTCTTCTCGAAATCGCAAACTTGCGCCCGGCTCGGTCGTTGAAAAAAAATTTCCACGGGGATTTGTAAAATTTGCCATCCGTGCTCCAAATCCGGAGAGTTGGCCACGCCTGAATTCCTTAGTCTTTGAGACAAGCATATGATTACTGGCAGGATCAACCAGGTTTCCCTGTGTTTCTTCTCGAAATCTCAAGTTTGCGGATGGGCCGGCCGTTGATAAATTCTTTACACGGGAAATTGTAAAATTTGCAATCCGTGCTCCAAATCAAAAGATTTGGCGACGCCTGAATTATTTAGCTTTTGAGACAAGCATATGACTACTTGCAGGATCAACAAGGTTTCCTTTTGTTTCTCCTCGAAATCTTAAATTTGTGCATGGCCCGGCCGTTGATAAATTCTTTACACGGAAAACGGTAAAAATTGCAATCCGTGCTCCAAATCAAAAGATTTGGCGACGCCTGAATTATTTAGTTTTTGAAACAAGCATGTGACTACTTGCAGGATCAACAAGGTTTCCATTTGTTTCTCCTCGAAATCTTAAATTTGTGCATGGCCCGGCCGTTGATAAATTCTTTACACGGGAAACGGTAAAAATTGCAATCCGTGCTCCAAATCCATTAATTTAATTTTAATTTATTAATTCAATTTTAATTTATCAATAAATAAAAATTCTTGTAAAAAGTATAAAGAAATATTAATTATATATATTATCATACAAATGGTTGTATTTACAGAGGTTCAACATGAAGAAATTTTCAATGAATTCTTTTCTTATCTTGAACAACAGGAAACTAAAATAATTGATGAGTTTTTGAGTGATAATGATAATAAAACAGAAGAAGAAGATGACAGTTACGGATTTGTAACTGAAAAAACGGTTAGAAAAGGAAATTACAGAACATCATAAAATGATAAACAATATTGAAACGAAAAATTACATCCCATTAAAACATGCAATGATAAAATATATGGAACAAACCAACAACCAACGAATAATTAGAAATGCTGGAAACTATTCATACAGTCAAATTACATCCAATTTGTGGTATTTAAGCTTTAGAGAATTTGAATGGTTAATCGAAATAAAAAAGAATGGCAACAAATGGGTTTGTAGCAAAGAAAAATTAGATGCAGTTGGTTTTAACATATTGTATAAATATAGAATGTTTAAAAGAAGGTTTGAATAATCATAAAAAGAACAAATGAACATAACCTTGCCCATAATATTTCTACAAAATTTGTGAAAAAATATTGTAAAATAATTTATCATAATTTTTGGAATAATATTTGTGAAAATTTTGCAAAATATATATTGTAAAATTATATTATTGAAAATTATATTTTTGAAAATTCATTTTTAACATTTTGTAAAATTTATTTTTTAATTTTGTAAAAAAATATTTTTCATTTTTTTAAATTTTGTAAAATTTTATTTTATTGTTTTGTAAAATTTAATTTTATTTTTTCAAATTTCTTTTTGATCTTTTTAAATTTATTTTTAAAATTGATATTTTTTGAAAGTTTATATTTTTTGAAAATGTATTTTTTAAAATTGTGTAAAATATATATTTTTTTGAAAATGAATGAACTTAACCTTGCCCATATATATTTTTGAAAATTTTGAATATATAATATTGGATAAACTGACTAAGAAATTACCTGCTTTGAAATGTTGATTGTTGAAAATGTGCTTTTTGAGGCGCTGTTTCAAAATGTTGCTAAAAGTGTGGGGAGGGGACTGGGATTTTTTTAGGAAAAAGATGGGCAAGGTCTGTTCTAACTCATGAACCCTGAGACTCTAAATAATAACCAGACCATGAATAATGCTAACCAGATTCCCCCATCAAAAAATAGATCTGATCCCCGCATCTTTATTCATGGTCAAGCCTTCCATTCCACTTGGCTCATCCCACACTTGATTCTAGATGTATCCCAAATCCACAAATTTTTGGGCTCCCTTTCTTGTAAAACCCTTTTCAAAAAACATCTGAGCCAACATGTCAGCGGAGTGTGTGAATAGGTCAATGTGCAACAAAAAGCAACACAAAACAGACACAAATTTCTTTTGACTTTTCGCACCAAAGTGTATGATTGGCTTCTTGGCCTTACGTGCCGTAGCCATATTTGAAAGTGCCGTAGCCATGTATTGTTACAATGATTCATCCAATTTTGGCGCGGATGATTTGTGAGCAAAATGGTAAACAGTCTGTACTGATTCTGTGAGATACCTAGATGTATCAATGTTCGGTCATACCCTGATCCAGTGTTCATGTATAAGGGATGACGGACAATGGATTTTAGGGTGCGTGAAGTCTCCATTGCATACTCCATTCTGTCCACAAGTGGCGATTCTCCGTTTCATTCCACAATCTCTCATATTCCTTCATCAGGATATTCATGAGATGTTTGGCCGGATTGAAGACGTGCTGGAGTCTGCTGTCGGTATTCGCGGATTTGTTGGCGTCTCCAGTGATCATTGCATTGGTACAATGTCACGAGAGGCAGGATTTCGTTCTGAAGATCTTCCCGCGCTGCTCCATGGCTGATTGATGGATGAATGTGGAAAACTCCAATGGTAGCAAACGGGAGGTCTGCCCTCGTTACGTGGCGGCTGTCAAACTCGAGGAGTGATTTGTTGGATGATTTTGGGAGCACACCACGATACTCGTCACTCTGCTCGATGTGGAGAACGACAATCTCTTTGTTACGTCCGTGTCGTTGGACAGTGGTGCGTGGTGGCAATCTCGGTCCAATGTACTTCTTGGATTCAGTAAACATGGATGGTCCCGTAGTTGCCAAGCAGTCCGAGGTCGGAATGTCGTATTCAGGATCAGTGCAATTTTCCTCGGTTCCGAAGAAACATCTGAACATCCCGAATGTGGTTCCCCAACTCTGACTCTTTGTGAAGGTCCGCCGCGGACAAAGCATGCAATTGGTCTGGATGACCATTGCTTGATAACGATGCCCTTGTACCCGAATCGGATGAACGTCTTGATGAGTTCTCTGGATTTCTCGTCTTGAGCACTGAGGAATGCGTCTGCTTCATTGAGGCATAAGATGTGTGCGCTGTTCTGCATCATCATCTTCACGATTGGTCGGTCCTTCATCGCCATGTTGTACACCTCCCTGCAGTCGATGCATGCCATGTGGATGCGCACTCTCCCCGAAGGGTTCGACAGGGATCTCCCAGATTTCAGCCCGTGCTCCATGATGTTGATCAGGTTTTCTCCATATGTAGCACGGAACACGAAAGTGATGGGCTTCTTCGCGAACGCCTTGATCTTTCTCTCTTCTTCAACGGATTGAGGCGCCGGCCTTCGCATTCTGGACTTTGCCTGAGCTGTGCCTTCGTCTTCATGGGGCGCGTCTGATCTTGACGGATGCGGACTTGGAGGAATGGATTCCGTTGGAAGGTCATAGTCCGGTTCCTCTTGGCGAGGCTCACTCTTCTGCTCGGAGTACAGGGATCGTCCAAAAGATTGGAGATCGACTTGTCGTGTATGACCGCTGTTGCATCTCACGTAGAAGAATTCCTTGCCATTAGGCCGGGGTGCATCGTATGCGGATCTGGAGTTGAGATTGTCTATCCATCGATTTCTTGGAACAATGTCTCCCCTTGCCTTGCGCTCATTGTGTGACCCGTCCACGGATGGACACACGAACGCAATCTCGAAACGTGCCTTTCCATAGTTCGGGAACATAGCCATCAAGAGAGTCGATCCTGAGCCTGCTTCTTTGTCCTTAAGCGAATTGTCCGCGAATGTGAAAATGGTCTTTCCACAGGTTAATCATTGGTTTGTTTGCCTGGGATGTAAGTCTCCAATTGTCTTCTAGGATGTCTGGATCTTCAGTTTCGGATGCATCAATGATTTCCGTAGTACGCTCTCGGCTAATGTTATCAGGATTGCCCTGAGCATCGGATTTTGATCCTGATCAATCAATTTCCATGGTTTTGGATTGATTTTGATTTTGAAAAAATATTGATTTTTTCAAAAGTTCTATGTTTGATTTGTTTGATTTCATGTTTGAAAAATAGATTGATTCTTGTACTGATCATATATATTGATTTTCATATTGATTTTCATATTGATTTTCACACTGATTTTGTTTAAGGCTTGAGTTCATATAAATAGATACTGATCAACTTCTCAGTCGCGAAGGTGCCAGACAGCTCACTGCACGCTGTGTTTTGTGGCACGCGTGGCTGAATTTGATTACCGCAGCCATTCTGGTTACAAGCTACAAAGCACCTGCGTCTTTCTTTCATTTGCTACGTTTGCACTGTGCTGCCTTTGGAAAAAGGCCTTTGCTTTGTTTTTGCCAGGCGACCCCTTTGAAAAAAGGTCCTACATATAACTCTCAAGCTGGCCTTGCAAAAGGCAGCGCCAAATCTTTGGGAAAAGATGCCCGCCTCTGCCTTGCAGGGCAGGGGCGGGGCAAGGCACTTCAAAAAGCCCTATGTCGAGACAGGGCTTCTTCTCAAGCTTCTGAAGAAGAATGAGGACCTGCTGCAGGACCTGAAGGGGTATGAGTCTCTGTCGAGAAACTCAGCAGTGGACCCCAAGGCATTGCACCGATGCTATCCCCTTGTGGAAGACATTGTGGCCTTGGAGCCTTCTGCAGAAGTGCATCCGCAGCCTCTGAGGAATGCACTTCTGCAGCTGCTGGCCACCAACCCCAAGCTGAACAGCACCAGGTTCAATGGCTCTGTCTGGACAAACATGAAGGCTGAGAGGCTGAATGTGCTACTGAGCCATGTGCGGAAGCTTGTCAGGTCAGGCGGCTCCAGCTGCCTTGCTGGGAGTGAGTTCGAAAGGCTCACAGAAACCTTGCAAAAGGTTGTCTTGCGGCTTGGAAAAGGATCGCCCAAGAAAGCAGTCCCTGAACCCTTTGGAAAAAGGCAGAAGCAAGTCGCCAACGCCCAAAAGGAGAAAAGCAGCAGCTGACGATGTGTCTGTGGATTCTGATGGGTTCCCCAAAATGCTTGCCAGCCCATCAGTCTCTGTGCACCAGCCATCAGCCCCAAGCTTTCTGAGGAGAAGGGCGGGGTCACATGGCAAGCAGCCGAGCGAGGCACCCGAGCCCTTGCACACAGACCTAAGGGAGAGTATGGGATACCTTGACAAAGGCAAAGCACAAGTGCTGAAGAAGCCTGCCTCCAAAGCCTCCGCCCCTTGGCAAAAAGGTTGGAAAAAGAGTGACGCCCTTCCGAAAAGAGTTCCGTGGCTGAAAATCTTAAAAACTACGGGGTCCAAGCCAGAGCGAAGTTACTTGACAGGAACCCATGACTTGAAGGAAAAGAAGAGGCTCATAATTGAGGTAACCAAAACTAGGAGCAGCCAGTATTGTTTTGTGATTGATAAAATCAAAGAAGCCTTGGAAAAGAAGTCCCTGACAAAAGAGGAAGCCTTCACGTTGAGGGACAAATTGTGTGCCAAGCACCCTTGAAAAAGGCAGGCCCTACGCAAAGCAAACGCGCTAGAAGCTCTTGAAAAAGGGCAGCCTTTGAAAAAAGGCAAGGGTTGCCAAAGTGCAAACCGCTGCGCACAAGGAGGTGGACGTGAAAGGAAAATGTGAGGCGGCACTGTTTCCCTTGATAAAACCCACCTCCCTACCACTATATTATAACTAAGGGGCAGTTTACCCTTTTAGTTTTTAGGGGATGGCTTGCCCCCCTAAGGTCCATCTTTTTTGCATGTGGGGTTGGGAAGTGGATGGGTGGTCTTTTTAATGGGTGGTCTTTTTAAAGAATCGGTTTCAAAACATGCTTTCACGCCGCAGCAATGTGAGCCTCAAGCTACTCTTTTTTTGCATCTGCGCGTGCGCAAGCCTTTGCAAAAAGGCACGTGTGCTGACTCTGCAAGCCTTTGCAAAAAGGCAATGCCCTGGGTCAACCTGCCCCGGGAGAACATCCGGGAATCCATGCCCTGGGCCAACAGGGCAGGCCGGCCCTGGGGGCACGGCACAACCTCGAGGGCCGTGCAAGCCAAAAGGGCGGTCAAGCAGGAGGCTGCTGGTGAGTCCGCGTGGGACACACTCCTTGGGAAAGGGACAGCTGGGACGTTTCTTGGGAAAGGGACTCGGGCTGGGTGTGGGGCACTCTTGGGGAAGAAGCACCCTTTTGGGAGAGAAGCAGGTCCCCCAGCCATAGTCATATGTCATGGGAGTCCTTGGAAAAAGGACAGAAAGCAATGGTACGAGGACAGCGAAGGCGAGGAGGCCAAGCCCCTTTGCGAAAAGGAGTGCAAGGAGTCCGCCCCAAAGTCATGGTGGACTTCCACAATGTCTTGGAGGTGGGGGGGGCCATCCCCCCGGCGAATTGCCAGGCCATCCAGAGACTCATTGACCGTGGCTACCCTGTCGTCATCTGCAGCACGCCTTTGCAAAAAGGGAGCGGGAAGTGATGTCCGAGCTGGTTCGGGGCCTTGGAGAGGGCCTTCTGTGTGCGGGCCCGAACAGGGCGGTGGGGCAAAGCTGCCCACGCCGTGCACCACGGCTGCTCCGTCATGATCGATGACGGAGCAGACATCCTGCAGGAAGGGAGCTTCATGAACCTGACAGTCCTTCCTGTCACAACGGCCAGGGAGAAGCAATAGTGGTGGAGCCGGGGGGGGGGGGGAAAAATGGTAAAAGTAGGGGGCCTGGGGGGTGGCCTGTTGATGGTTGCCTGTTATGGTTTTTATGTTCATCTCAAATCTGTGTTCCCCCTTAATCGTTTTTAAAAGAGGGTTTTTAGGGAGCTTATTTATCGTTTTCGTTAAGGTAATCACTTGGGTAAATTGTCGCCTTGTTCATTGTTGGGCTGGGGGCCGACATTTTTTCATTTGAAAGAGTTAGCATTTGATTTTTTTGACAGAACTGATGTTGAGGTTGAGTGTTTGGCCGACGATTGCTCACACAGTGGTCTTCCGCAGTGCTTTGGGTTTGTGAGACCTGCCACGCTACCATTTCTGTACCTGTCTTTGAAGCGATGTCACCGAAGACACACCCAAAGGCAAAAGCGTCGCCCAGTGGATACACCCAAGAAGAGAATGTGATGGTTCAGGACACCCCGACGGTTCAGGACACGCCGACGGTTCAGGACACGCCGACGGTTCAGGACACGTCGACACCCCGACGGTTCAGGACACGCCGACGGTTCAGGACTCGCCGACGATTCAGGACACCCCGACGGTTCAGGACACCTCTGCTTCATCTTCGAACACCGTTGATGAAGAACAGTCACTCATCAACGCTGTGAAACAGATGTCGCTTGATGAGTTGGACGATGAGACTGTGAAGTTCAAAAAGCAACAGGAGAACTTGGTCAATATGATGCTTATCGTGGAGAAGCAACGTGCTGTGTTGAAGAAAGCTGTGAAGGACGCAGAGACAAATGCAAAGACGATGCAGAAGCGTGCTGATGAAAAGGCAAAGACTACTGCAAAGAAAGCCGGAGTTCTTGAAGTCAGGGTTCTTCTTCCCAGTGGCAAGGTCATCACGGTGAAGGTGTGTCGCTCCAAGTGCATCGGTCGCATCAGGGAGAAAGTCATTGCGATGAGCAAGGAGTTCAACAAGTGCAAGAAGCTGTCAGAGGTTTCCCTGATTGCGAACCAGAAGGTCATCACCAACAATCCCCGTGGTTGCATCTACAACACGACCCTGAACAATGACACTGTCATCATGGCGATTTTGTCCTCAACCATTCAAGGAGGTCAGTTGCCTTCGTTGCCTACATCCTTTGCTTCTTCAAGCACAACGCCTTCCGCATCGACCACAGCGCCTCCCGTCGCAGACGACCGCCAAGAGGACAACACACAGGAGGCATCCGACGATGACGAGGAAGACCAGGAAGAGGAGGAGACCACCGACGATGATGAACAGTAGCTAGTTGTTGTAATCCATCTCAAAAAGCAGAAGAGCGCGATGATGCAGGTAGCAGTTCCGCGTTTGCACATACCGCCTGACAGAGAGGAAAGGGAAAAGAGAGACTATGTTTTGCCTTCTGTCATCATTGCTTGAGTCAGATTTAGAACTGATGGTTGGCGATGTGCTTTGCAATCTTGTGTCCCACTTTGACTTGACATGACTTTGACACGCTTTGGCTCTAGATTGACTGTAGCGAAGGTGCCCCGTTTTGTTTCCCAGTGCGTCCAATGACTGACAGGCCCAAGATTGTCATGGATGACAAAAGTGCCAGACCGCAGCCAAGGGAGCACTGGTCATCGCGCATCAAGCGTGAAGTCCAAACACTCACTGAAGAGAACAACGTCCTGAAGGAGATGAACATGGAGTTGATGACCCTGTTTGCTTCACAACAAGGTGGCTCGTCTTCACAGCAAGGTGGCTCGTCTGGCGGCAACCCGCCAGACCCAAATGGCGATAGTTCAGACCAAGAGGGTGGCAGTTCAGGCGATGAGTCCGATGACAACGACGACGACTTTGGCATCTAGGATAAGACCTTAGACGTTCAGACCTTTGTCATTTTGATAAACACCAAGGCGGTTGGGAAGAACAAGACCTACGAGTATGAAGTTGATGGTTCATGGAAGTTGCGTTCCTTGAAATACATCATCTTCTGCAAAACCCACATCCCCCCGAACCACATCCGCTTCACTTCTTCTTTTGGTTCGTCATACCACGACCACCTGACCATCTCTCAGAATGGCATCGTCCCATACTCCACCATTTACGTCATGCTTCGCTTGTCAGGTGGAGGGAAGAGGGCATCGAGCGGTGCGGTGAAGGTTGGGAAGCAGGACAAACTCAATCAGTTGAAGGATGAGATTGACACCTCGTTGCTCATCATTCGCAGTCAGACTTTGCCAACAATCGCGAATGGTCTCACGGAGTTGCTGAATGCGAAGACTATGATGGAGAAGTCGCCAGAGGATGCCATCAACACCGCCTTTCAGGGTCTTGACGTGCCCACTTTGAAGAAACTGCAGGCCGCATGTATGACGGGCAACTTGGAACATAAGCTAGGCGTCATTGCTCGTGCAGTATTTCATCAACCACTGCAAGAGTTTGAAAGTCACAAAAAGCAGTTTCAAATCATGGAGAACGCCATGAAGTCCATGATGAACATGATGCTCCTTCACGTGCATGGGTCTGATGATAGTGTATCAATCGGATGGCAGAGTTTCCATGTCGGACGTGATTGAAGCGAAATCCAAGACGCGTTCATCTGACGCTGAGATGAAGAGCTGAAACAAGGTTTCACTAGAAGTTTGCCACAGCATGACCCAGAAACACCAAGGGTGAAACAGAGGGGTCTGTTTCAGTCATCTTTTGACCACCCTTTTTGAGGTAAACAACCCTAACCAAAAATAGACTGAAACAGGGGGGTCTGCTTCGCAACCGTTTTTGACCGCACACCAGTGGGATTTCCACCAGAAACACCAAGCGAAACAGGAGGGTCTGTTTCATTCATTTTTTGACCACCCTTTTTGATGTCAAACAACCTACCCAAAAAATAGACTGAAACAGGGGGGTCTGTTTTTGGGTCTTGCTCAGGTAGCAGTGACTTTCAGCAGGACTCATTACCCAGCACCTTGCAGAGACCTGACGTTTGGCGATGCGAAACAATACACGAGCGGAGGCGGATTGACTTCTGGTTTGATTGAGAATTTGGGAAAACAGTTTTACAGCCCTTTCTGTTTAGGAGGGGTCATTCGCTCTTTCCTGCGGGAAATTGGGAATGAACCTCCGTGTATCTAGAAAAAATGAGAACAACAATGTTAATCGGATGTGCGACGCTAAAAGTGTCATGCGTCTGGTTAGGGGATTGGCGGCTATTTTTCTTATTTTTTTTTACTATCCATTCCATAATCGTAATTCGGTCTGGGTGACCATTTATGTCACCCGTCCTGTCCGAGCAAGGAGTGAGTGGGGAGCGAATGGGTCAAGGAGAGATAAGCATACCCACCACTCCTTGCTGAAAAGGGAGGGTTGATTATGGAATGGA